CCTATTTTGAAGCCTATTGTTTTGTTTTTGTTTACTTTGGCACCTGTGGCTGAACTGTAGTAGTTTACTATTTCTAGGCTGTGGAATATTGACTGTTCTGTTGTGACTGTTAATGTGACGTCGTCTGCGTGCGTCATTACCTTTTGCTGTTGCAGCTCATTACCGGGAGTGGTGACCCCCCTCGATGTTCTGGCATCGTACTATTTTAGAAAGTAGACAGTCGATTGTCAGGACAAAGAGGGTGGGTGACAGGGGGCAACCCTGTCTTACCCCAGACCTGACAGGTATTTCCCTGGACAAGTGCCCGTTTAAATTGACCACCGCTGTGACACCTGTGTATATTGTACGGATCCAGTTTATTAATCTGTTCGGGATATTGTACTTTCTCATTATGAACAGGAGAAAGTCGTGATTGACTCGGTCAAACGCTTTCTCCTGATCTATGGTCAGTACATATCCGTGGGTGTTTCTGTAATTTGTGGTATATATGATATCTCTTAATAATGTTGTGTTACTTTGGATGCTTCTGTTCGGGACGCTACATGTTTGGGTGTTTTGTACTAATTGCTCTATTACTTTTCTGATTCTGTTAGAGATGCATTTTGTTAGAATTTTGTAGTCTGTGTTACATAGGGTTATTGGTCTGTAATCTGCCTGTGTTACATAGGGTTATCGGTCTGTAATCTGCCTGTGTTACATAGGGTTATCGGTCTGTAATCTGCTATGTGTTCTGTATTTTCTTCCTTTTTACTGTGTAATGTAATTATACCTGTTTTGAAGGATTCCGGGAGTGTGCTATTTTCTAGGCTATTGTTCAACATTTGTGTGAATTTGTCACCTATGATTTCCCAGTAAGTTTTATAGAACTCCACTGGGAGTCCATCGGGTCCGGGGGCTTTGTTTAACTTCATAGTTTTAATGGTGTCAAGGCATTCTTCAGTTGTTAAGGGGTGGTCTAGTAGTGTACTTTGGTTGTTTTCTAGGGCTATTGTGTGTTCTGTTATATTGTCCCATTTAGTTTTATCTGTTGGTTTCTCGGAATACAGTTCGGTGAAGAAGTTTGTGGCAATGTTTAGCATGTTCTGTGGGTTATTGTGGCTAGTTCCGTTTTTGTCTTTTAAGCTGCTTATGTTTGTTTTTTGTTTATTTTCTTTATATTGTTTGTAGAAGAAACTTGTAAACTTTTCTTCATTTTCTATTTTTTGCATAGCTGTTTGTATTTTTAAATTTTCAAATTTCTGGTGATATAGTTCCTCTAGTTCTGATTTTATTATCTGCATTGATTCTATGAATTTCGGGTTGTTTTCATTGTTATTTGATAATGCTGTGAGCATTCTCTCTAGGGTATCTATTTCTCTGTTTCTTTTATTGGCCATTTGTCTTCCGTGTTCTTTAAATTTATTTTTACTGTAATTTTTAGGTTTTCCCACCAGTCGGGGCTGATGGTTTGTTTGCATATTTCAATGAATTCTGTCTTAATGTTTTCTGTAATGCTTTCTTGTTTTAGGAGAGAGACATTGAGTTTCCAATGTCCCTGACCTCTGGGCTGTGAGTTTGGGATTTTAACTTTCAGGTATACACAGTGGTGGTCGCTAACATAAAATACCCTGGTCCCTAAGGGACTTATCCAGGTTTGATCCAGCCAGGCTACTGTTTCGTAGCTGGTGTAGAACCTGTCAAGCCTGACCCCCACCCCGGAGCTACTCCAATATGTGAGCCCAGGTTCGTGTTGTTTTAAATGACGCCAGGTATCGCTGAGATTAAAGGTTTCTACTAGACGTTTTAGTAATTGCGCTGTTTCATCTAGTGTGGTTGTGCCATTTCTTTTGTCCAGGATTGCGTTTAGTACTACGTTGAAATCTCCACCCATGATTATGTGATGGGTGCAGTATAGATAATTATATAAATTTTAAAAAACTGTTTTCTGATGGTGTCTTTGTCTGGTGCATATACGTTTATAATTCTTACTGTTTTGCTATTTATTTCGACATCGATGAGGCATATTCTTCCGTAGTCATCGTGTCTAAAATGCTTTATGCTGCCTGTGAAATTATTACTGATTATTATGCCTGTTCCAGCGCTTCTATTGCTTCCGAAGCTCCAGAACGAGCGGAGATTAAACTTATTTTGAAATTTTTTAATCTGCTCGTGGGTATGAATATGGGTTTCCTGCAGGAATAATATATCTATTTTTTTCCTTGACATGTAATCTATTACGAACTCTTGTTTCTTATCCTTTCTAAAACCCTGAGTGTTGAGAGTTAGTAAGGACAGAGACATTATGTTTGTTTGTTATGTACTATTTTTTGATATATTTACCGTGTAGTAGTCCTTCATTGATCTTAATAACTAGCTTATACCTAGGTTATCTTTGGGCCCCTGTTCCAGAGACCCTTTTTTCTTCTTCTTCTTCTCTCTACTTTTGGTGGACGATGGCGTCTTGGGCCGTTTCTTCCCGGTGGTCTGGGGTTCGTCCGTTTCAGACGCTGAAGATTCCTCGCTCAGCTCCAGGTCTTTCTCGATTGACGATATCTCGTCAATCACTAGCTTGGCTTCATCTTCACTAGCACTGTCGCACTCGGATGATGTCTCCATTTTGTCTTTTCCACTATCGGTTACTTTGTCTTTATCATCGGGGTCTTCATTTGGTACTATTACTGGCTCCTGTTGCTCGGGGACGGGGTCCTCGACTACAGAAGCAAACGTTTTCTTGTAGCACGTGCGGAAGTCGTGTTCGCCTCCGCACTTTCTACAGCCGTTCTCACACTCTGTAGACTCGTGGCCGTACTGACCACATCGCCTACAGAATGGGACGGTGCATTCTGCAGCCAGGTGCCCGGTCCCCTTACATTTGGCGCACAGCCTGACCATGCCGGGGTAATTTACCATACCTCGGCATTGGCACACTTGAATAAAGTTTGGGACAGGCTTGGCCATGTCCATTTTTACTTTTCTATTGCCGTTCAAGACTTCGGGGAAATCTTTATATGTATCCCGAGTTACGACGAAAACCTTACCGAAGTCGCTCAGGACGTCGGTAAGGCACTCGTTGGGGATTTCATGATGCAATCCCCGAATGGTCAACCATTTAACATTATTGCCTGCTGGGAGATTATTACTTTTTTTTCCTTAACTTCAAAAAACCCTTTACCGAGTGCTTTATTTGTGGCTGCTATGGATGTGAAGGTACAGCAAGCTCTGTTACCTCCAATCCCCTGCAGACACGCTACACTCTTCGGGTCAATTTGCTCATAGAGAGCTTTTAAAACTTCGTGGGGTAGGGTCCCCTCCGGAAATTCAAACACTACTGAGTTAGGCCGTTGGACGACCGCGTTTTTGTGGGTTGCCATAGTGGCTTCCCTTTTTTTACTTTTAACCTTCCTTTTTGTTTTTTCCTAGTTTTACTTCTACGTGGGGGTTTAACTTTAGTTTACACTCTTAATTAAGTTTACTTTATATGCAAATTAAAGTGGTGGGGGATTCTAAGCTTAAATATGAGAAAAATATACTACCTGCTTCCCGACGCTTGAGGTGGCATGGCGAAAAATAGACTTTATTTCTCTCTCTCTCTTACTCAGAACATAGATTTAGGGTTAAAAGTTAGGTTATTTTATGCGTAATTACTTTATGTTTAATCTAATAGTAATACTAGGACATAGTTCCTTTGTATTACGTTACTTAAGTACAAAATACTTAAATTTGTTTAGTACTTTACACAGTAGGTACTTAATATCTTCTAAACAGGCTTCATATTATTTTAATGACGAAATAGCTGTATTACCGTTCATATGATTCTACGTTTTCTGGTGACGTCAGAGTTCAAAGGCAAGCTTAAATCCAATATTTCACAATTCCGCGTAATGATATTGTTACGACATCGACATTTACGGAAAATTAACTAACGAACGGAGACGTAACAATATTGTCTCTAAATTATGGTACTTATCTTGGGCT